ATGAGTGTGTGTGTGTGTGTGTGCGTGAGGTCCACTCCACTGCTCTTTGATCCTCGTCTTGACAGCCCACCACCTGGGACGATCCGTCACACGCCGCATGGCTCCCAGGCCCGGCTACGCCATGGGAATCACAACACACAGCGGCAAACGCAGCGCTAACAGCCAGCCCTCCCCTGCACATTATACACTGTCAGAATCGCTAATGCTAACAGCAAGAGCTAACCCTCCCATGTACAGATATGCAAAGAAAAATGCCACCGGAATCATAATTCACAGTGAGCGGCTAGCAGCTAACCCTCACTCAGTGCTATTGGAATTGCTAATCGCACACAAGGGGCCAAAGCTTGAACACAGGTGCAATTGGAATTATAATGGAATTATAATGTACAATACTGAGGCAATGCTAAAAAGCTCCCCCTTGTATAGACATAGCATTGACTCTGCATCAAGGAAGTATAATGAAAACAGTAAGAAGTTAATGTGCCTCACATGGAGATCATGATGCCGGCTAACGAGTCAGTTTGGCATTATTACACATGCATTTAGTCAAATAATGAACTTAAAGGGTCAGTCCATAGTTTATTTTACCTCATACATTTTAACACTACTAAAATGTTGAAAGAATTATATTTCTCAATTGATAATAATTGAAAATATAGGTCTGTTTTACTCTCTGACAAAGATAAGATTATCTTTTATTGATAGCCCAGAGGTGGATTGGGAGTGTTACAGCGGCACAAGGACAGAAATAAGTACAGATGAATAAAGAAACATAATAACAAATAAAAATAGATTAAATAGAAACTTTACACAAGCAATTAAATTCAAATTACAGGCAATAACAGTACACATACAGTACCCACAACTAGTGTACTTGAACTTGAATTTATAAAATGAACATAATAATTATTGAGTGTTTTATCAAAGTCTTAATGACTTTACAATTCTGTCTAGAGTGGCTTTGTGTAGTAAAATATATTCTAATTTGAGTGATAGGAGACGCTTTAAACCTCCTACACACACCTACGGTACACCTGCACAGGTGTTTTCACTTACTGTGCCTGATGAGACCCTGTCTCAGGACCGTGCTTGATCGAAATCTTCCTCAGTCTGCTTAGGTGGAACAACTTAGACCTTTATGGTTTTTATTATCTGTGCTCCATTCAGCCGTGCCAGCATGCAGCTTGTTATGTAGGGAAACAAGTTTTAAACGGGGTGCAGGCTGCATATCACGTGGCAGGTAGGACGTTTTATCTCTATCGCCTCATAATTAAACTGTAGAAGGTAGTAGAGATAGTGTGGATAACTTTTCCACAACTTTTAAGCACGGGCAGAAAGAGTTCAGCAACTTTTTCTACTGGGATTCAGCCACAAAAAGCTGCATGTAATATGTTTAGTAGTCTCTGTTCACAGTGCTGCTGGTACATGTGGTATTTTGTTAAATTTGCCTCAAAAGCCATTGCTTCAACACGGCATAAGGAGCATGTGTGGGTCGGGGTTTGGGGCACTTATTAATTCATGGAGACCTAACTTAAACTTGCATGCCCCCCAGCAGAACTCAGTGATAGGTAGCAGTGAAAACACCTGTGTGGGTGTACAACTCTTAAACTTTAGTTTTGGAGTACTTCGGAATACTTCTACTACTACTTCTACCATATTCATTTACACTTGTTGATGTTCCAAAGTTTTATATTGAATAAGCTCATCATCTCTAAATTATGTTAGTGGACCAATTCTCCATAATAATTATTTTTACTTTTGATTCTTAAAACACTTAATATTTGTTTAGTTTTGCTCCCACTTGTAGATATTTTCCATATTGGTGTCATTACTTTAACTTAAGGGTTATCCTTAGTAAGTCCAGTTTTTATCATGGTAACAAAGAGCTAAGATGGAGCAGAACTGCCAGAGATCTACAGTATGTGGAAGCAACTTCACCACTGAGTGTTATGTAAAAGCCATATCAGTTTGGTGACCTACATGGAATAAATTGTATAATATTTTACCCAGTGATAGTCCGTCAGTCGTGACTAATTTCCCCTCTTATCGCTGTGCCTTTAACTAGTAGAAGCTGATGTGAAACTCTTGGTGGTAAATTAATACTGATAGCAGAAGTGGGGGGTGCTTAGGGTTTAGTGAAGTGACATCCCGAGCTGCCTTTCACGCTGGGGGTCGGAGAAGAAAACACTAAGCTGGGAGTTATCTCTGCTAATACACAGGAACTGCAGCATTTGAATCACAACACCAATCACGTTGCTGACGCTAGGCTAAGGGCCAACTATTCAACAGCCGTGGCACCCAGAGGACACCGCAGGAATTCAGATCCATTACGCTCCCAGCCCCATCAAAGGGACTCTGGGATTCGGATGCCAAATCTGCTCCAGATGCTCACTGTTGGATTTCACTAAGATGCACTGCAGGGCAAGTGTCATAAGGGCTGATGTCTGCTATATGGCCAACAAAACCACAACCAGTCCGCCTCATTCACACTGAGTCGATTTGTGCCATAAAGACAATGGAGAGGACAACAAAGCAGGAGTAAACAATGGCACACTCACAGCTCATCTGTGGACAAATAAATACACAAGAAAATTAACAGATGAGCAAATCTGGAGGCAGAAGGTCCAAACATATGAACCTGCAGCAACTGGAAGGACGACGTCAGAGCTAAAACCTGCACAGACCAGTGGCTCACCTGTATATAATGTGTATTAACCTTGTTAATCAAGGCAACTAGGACTGATTGTGTTAGTTAAATGCAAGGTTAAATCAAATGCTAAGCTGCTTTGTGGTCGCTCTTGATTTTTCGTATACCTTTTGCATCCAAGTGGCCATGGAGACTACTGGTTTCTGATCTTTATCAAGTTTATCTTTTGCTTCGTTGTTTCTATCCAGTTGGGTAGCTTGTTTCATGGGTGGTACAGTTGAAAACAGTGGTTTGGTGTAATTTCAAAAAACGATCGTATCCTGATAGTTCAACAGGTTTTTGAGTAACAAAAATTGTTAATAGTTCTCTCGTTCTCCCCTACAGGTCACCTCAAAGAACCACCACTCTAAATCAGTATGTAAGGTTTATTTAACTGCAAATACACTTGCTACCAGCACTATTTGTGACAGTTACTACTTGCTAAAGCTAATTCTCACTCACTGAAATGGACG